CTAAATGCATTGAAGCAACTGCCATGTGATTAGATAATTGCATTAATGAGAAATTGAACAGGTGTTCCTAATAATCCTTTAGGGGAGTGTATATTCAATGTACTGTATTATACTGAGGGGGCGGCATGGTGGTGCAGTGGTTAGCACTGTTGCCTCACACCTCTGTGTTACATATGTGTGGAGTTTGCATGTTCTCCCCGTGTCGTCGTGGGGTTTCCTCCGGGCACTCCGATTTCCCCCCACAGTCCAAAGACATGCTGAGGCTAATTGGAGTTACTCAATTGCCCATGGGTGTGCTTGTATGAGTGAATGGTGTGTGAGTGTGCCCTGTGATGGGCTGGCCCCCTGTCCAGTGTTGTTCCCTGCCTCGAGCCCATTGCTTCCAGGATAGGCTCCGGACCCCCTGCGACCCAGTAGGATAAGCGGGTTGGAAAATGGATGGATGGTATTATACTGTATGTGTATTTCATTATAAAAAATTATTACTCTTTAAATTGTTATTGTTTTTTGCTGCCTGCAGTGTATAAAAGGTGCTTTATCTCAAAGGAAATATATTTCATAAACATTTCTGAGTTGTGGAAGGTATGTGCAATTTACATGCTAAATAAAATCAAAAGCAAAAAATGATGACGCAAAGGCCATTTGTTAAAAAAAAAACGGGAGGACCCAGCACTTTTGTTCATCAAAAGTCAGATTTCAAACCAAGGCTTGCTCCAGTATTTTAAAGTATGGCCTCATCACCATCTTCACTGATGGAAATGATCATTCCTTACTTTGTTTAAGGACAAGTTCAGATCTGTTTTTCCTATCAAAAAAGTTTACATTACCTTCAAAGTTACCCTTAACATTTGAGTCATTTTCCACGCTTTCCACAACAGAATTCTAAATGTGTCATGTACAACGCTGAAAATGGCTGTGTGATTCAATGGGTAGAATCTCTTTGTCCTGTAGATTCCTTGCTACCTAATGGGCACCTGCCTCCTGAAGAAACTGGTCATGTGGTGTAGTGGGTAGCAGGCAGCCTGCTGGCTTCAAGTAGCATGTCATTTTCAAGAAGACATGCAACATTGCTGGCATACAAACAATATACTTTCCTTCAATTGCATCATTATGTCCAGCCCATGGCAATCAAGAACAAAAATAAAATACATGCAATTTGAACAATGCTGACTTCAAACCAACATTATAAACACAGGTCTCAGTATGACAATTAAGATAAAGAAGCAAGTGTCAATCTCTCATACGTGAGAGGCTGCCATCCTCCTAGAAAACATGGTCAGGCTTCTCCAAAGATACAAAACACATTTAATCTAGGCCAGTATACTACATAGTATTTTTTTATAAAAACACATTTTATCTACTAAATGAGAGATTCAACCACTAAATCTCTACTCCAGCACTCTGTGAAGATCTCCTACTTAACCCACTCATGTTCTAATTTCCAGATGAAGCTAGAAACCCTAACACCCATGCTATTGTACACTCCCTCCAGATGAACACTGAAGAGGGACTGCAATCACGTAACTCCAGCCTTACCCATTAAATGGAATCACTGCACAAACCCCAGTTTAAAAATACCATAATAGATATTGATATTTTTATCTCCACCGTATCTCTGTATATTACATTATAATACCTTACTATGGAGGGCTAAGAGTGCCAAAATTAAATAAAGAAATACACCAATAATTAATTAATTAAATGTGCCATGAATTGTTTAAAATGGGAAATATAAAGATAAATTATTACTTAAATGTCTCATGAATTATTTAAAATGGGAAATATAAAGAT